CCCGAATGGGTGAAAGATATTCCGCTGGCGGGGGCAAAAGAGGTGAGAAACATTTGGGGCTTCCTCGGCTACCAAATTAAAAGGTGAGTTGCATGGTTTTTCAGCCTCTCCTCCGGACCGTTTAGACTTAAGAGTCCCTCTCATTAAACTGTCCCCCATCCTGCGATTAATCTCCAGCTGAAATCACGCGTGAGAGGTGCAATTTGAGCATCTCCTTTTGGCGTCCGCTCCTTCATTCCGACACAATCATATAATCCACTTCAGCCCATAATGCGATCAGACTTTTGAAGTGTGACGTTTCCAAGCATTTTTTTAATAATCACGATCTTTATCAAACACCACCTCTTTTGTACCAGAGTGCGACTGAACAATGATCGCCAGACAATGATTACAACAGACGCATTTATTTGTGCCCGCGCGCATGGATGAGGTGAGAGTTGGGGCGAGATTGTTGACGGGCTTGGGACACATCAAGTCATTCACAAGTGAGCTCTCTGAGGTGCGCGAGTGAGAGAAGATCAATATAAAGTAATAAAAACAGAAAATAATCATTTGCGCGCTATTGTACTAAACGGATGGCCTTTCCCTCTCCCCTTCGCATAGGCCAAAATGAATGGCAGATGAGTGAGATCACCGATGCGCGATCATCATTGTGTCAATCAATGATTTATTACCATTTCCCATCTCTGATATATACACTCAGATCTTCGCACATTCAGTTGAATTAATTGAATATTATTTTTCCGCATAATCATTGCCCACAACGGCTTCTTTCAAAGACACACACACACAGCTCACGATAGACAATCGAATTCACACAAATCAGTTAAGAAGTGCTCAATGGCCCAAGAGAAAAAAGTGCCAAACAATGAGACTGTTAATTAATATTGACCCCTAGGAAGTTTGCGCCTCACACGATCTTGGCTGCCATTGTCTGGAAGAAAAGTCTCCCAAAGTGGATGCCCAGCGATTCCCAGGATGTGTCCGCGCAACCCTGTAAAGACAATTGAACAAAAAAAGCAGGGAGATGAAGAGGGTTGCTCATCCTCATTTATATTCATTGCAGATTACAGGCTCAATCAAAATCACTTAAATCAAACCGTCTCTCTGTGGGTTCATCGTCATCACATTCACTGTGTCGAATTTAGCGAGACAATCCCTCTTCATGTTGCGCCTAATTCGACCTGGCATATGTTTGCGCGCCGGTTCTGTTTGTCGTGCACATTTTGAGAGCCCGTCCGAGAGGTCTCGATGCCCTACCCTTACGCTTAGCAGAGGTTTGCACAGATTCAGAGGAAGTTTCAGCTTTGTAGTCAATTTAAGAATCATTACAACTAACTGAGATTTAGAGAATAAGAATAAATGTAGGGTAAGAAGAATGCCCTCACATTCATCTGACAATGTATAAGAGTGTCAATAATAAACAAGATAGACAGAATGTCAGTTTAATCAATCTCTCAAGCAGAGTGTTTAGAGGCAGCAAGAAGCTAGACCAACTCCACACTGGCGAGCTGGAAGCTGAAGACTTGTGTAACCATCCATAGGATTACATTAGGCCATCTCTATCATCAGCCACGAGAATCTCTCACTGTCCTACATTTTTACCCCGGTTTGATATAAATAGAATGTGAAGGATTCATTGAACAAAAGTATTGTAGCACATTGTGTAAAGATTAGAGAAGCATTGTCCTGGAATGGTGTCTGTATTTCACTCACAGACAGAGCGAGAGAGAGAGAGAGAGGACAAAAAAGTAGTGCGCATCTGCCGATGATTCCTCATGTTCGGGACTCCTCTATATATTTTCTCAATTTTTCACACACAATCATCCCCTAAAAACAGTGCAAGAGTGGCACTATCTCTTTTTGCCAGTGAGATTTCTGCTCTACTTCTCCGGACCGGATTTGAGGGCACCCTCCCCGGACATTAAGGATACGCGTCTAACCTTCATCGTCAAATCTCGTCATTGTCTCTTCAATAAGGGTTAATTTTCCATCCATTCTTGTCTCTCACACCAACCCCATCGCTCTCCTGGGATCATGAGACACACATATCGTCCCGGAGGAATACCCAAATTGACCATGAAGAACCCGTTTCAAGTTCCAGAAACTCATCAACCCCAAAGCCAAAGAAATTTATTAGATCGCATCTCGAGAAAGACATAAAGGGGGATGAAGAAGCACATGTTGCTGCGTAAAGGTCGTCCGGTCAGTTTTATTTTACCTATACCTCATTGTCACACAGAAAAACAGGGGTTAAGACATCAAATGGAGACCAAATCGAGTTCGACAAGACCGTTTTTCGACGTTAGCCACCTTTCAATATATATATATGGTTTCGACGAACGCAGATGCAGTGCCGGAACCTCTACAAGTGCCTCGCGAAATCCTACATCAAAGGTCCTCTGGGACTCTTCATTGATACTCTCTCACCCCCTATTTGGGTTAAATCATCCGAATCGCCTTAAATGGTTAGGGGCCCGATATCAATAGCCATAGCACAATGGGTGGAAAATGCAACAAACACGGTGCCTTTCAAAGGATCCCCGCCAGGATTTTCATCATGTAATTTTTATCTATCGTTGCGAATCAATTTATCCTTCAATTGGACAATTGTTACTCCATATCTTCCTCCTGATGCACCCCTCTATTCCTCCTCCTCTCGCTGCATCCGCAGCCACGGCGCGATCTCGCTCTCGCTCACGGGCAACACTCGAGAAGAGATTACATTTTTACCCACAGTGCACACACAATTTTCGGAACCCGCAAAAAAAAGGTGCTGAATACTTCCTGCTCATTCACACAATCCCGCTAATGTTGTACTTCACGGAAGGGCGCACAATGGCGGTGCCGCGCTGAAGGATGCTCTCGAGAGGATCCTCGAGTGGCCACAGAATTGCCGTGTTCACTCTGCCCCAACAGTAGCAATTTAAATCCCACCATGGGGCCACGAGCAGACAATTCCCATGCCTTTCGGGAAGCTCTCTCTCTCTCCATTCACACACATCCCATTTTCGATGCTTTCGCGAAGTCATCCATATCAATGGGTCAGACGGTGAGTCAATACGGCATTTCTCGCCTCAATTGCATAAAAATTCTAATGGAATTTGGTGGTGTGTGAAAGGAATCAAATCTCACTCGCCACGGTAGCTGATCATCTATTGTGATGGATCACTTTGGGAGATATTAGAGAAATCCCCTGTTTAATTGTCGGTGATCTTCTGTGGCTTTTATTCAGGAAATTCCATGAATCAAGCTGTTAGAGCTGGGTCGAAGCACATCTCTCTTTGGGTGGATTTTCAATAACATATTCCCATGGATGCAAGTGTTTGAAGGACTCGAAAATACTGTTTAAATTCTTGATGTACAGACAAGATGTAAAAGAAGATTATTTTCCGGAAAAATCACGTAAAAATATTTGCATCTTTCTCTCCAATTGTACTCAATTTTATAAACTAACGAGACACAAAAGCACACACAAGCGGATTCATATCAGTATCCTTTGTTCTCAAGTGGTCAATAGCTTTCTAAACTTTCATGTTACCTCTATAATGTGATTTAAAGTGTCCTTAACACCTCAGGTTGGATTTTCCCACACATCAATGCCAAATATTTGAAGATTTCCTCAGAAATTCCTCCGTGGAAGTAACTTCTGGTGTTTTGCGGAAAAATATTTGAGAAACACCTCAAGAGATCCTCAATGGTGTCTCCTTCTCGGGAAGTTTGAGGAATTTCAGTGGAAAAATATTTGTCAGATCCTCATCAGGGATGCGATTTTGTTAGACAGTGAGTCGCCTGAAGCCTTTTCGGATATTGACAAACACACTCACATATTCAGAGTGGTGGGTTATCGGGATTCAATCAACTTTCATCATCATCTCAATGGCCGGAGAAACAACATCATCCGCCAGGTCATCTTTCACCTGAGGAGAACTGAGAAAAGTAGAGAGAGTTCTCTTTTTCTTCTTCAAGTGATTTCTGGGTGTCTTTTGTGAGGGCATTTCTCAATATTCCAACAATTCATTCCACTGTGACTTACAAAATGCTTTGGACCAGATGAAGAAAAAAAAAAGAGACGCGCTTTGAATGGGGCGCAGAATGAGGAGGTAAAGAAAAGACACCTCTGAAAATCATTTCACAAAACTTCAATACAAATATCACAATTATGAATAGGGAGAGAGAGAGAGAAGGTCCATCCAGGGCATTGTTGGGTGGAGAATAACCTTCTCTATTTCCCAAAAAATGCGTACAAAACATTCGCCGTGACGTCACCACGTGAGATTGTCAGGTGTTCCTCCATTATGGGTGGTTGAATAGGCATGAGAGAGCGAACGGATAAAAATGCAGCTCAACAAACACACAATTTATGAGGTGATGGTTTTTGTTGCCTTGGAAATTCTCCGCTTTTTATGTGTGTCTGTTTCCCAACCTAAGTTCTGCCCTGGAATCCTTCTAGACACCGTGGCACCGGAGTTTTGGAGGGATTTCTCAGAAAAGGAGATCTATTTTTTGTCTTAACACACTCCGCAGAGGATGTGAAGATGGCCAGAAAGGACGAAGAGAGAGATATTAGCACCTTTAAATGATACCTCATTCCGTCTTTATGATTCTGCAGCCATAAAGAAAAGGTGTCCTGAGTCGTAAAAGACAATCTTTCAAAAGCTCAAAGGATTCCGCTTTGAGGATTCTTCCTGGTTCAATATTTGAAAGTTTCACGATATTGAGGGGTGAATAACTCACAGAATTGCTACATATTCTGTTAACAAAAATGATAATTGCTGTTGTTTACGCAATTTTGATTGCGTCTTCTTTGTCGAATCACACAAAAATAAAATCGTAAAGTCTAGAAATAAAGCTTATGTCACAGTTAGAAACGTACGCCATGAACTTGCGTGACACTGATAGTTTTTTTTGGTTAATTGATGAAAACGCCTTAAATACAGCTCATAAACGGTGCTCTTCATACAGTGTCTCTTTGAGTTTCTTGGTGAAAAGTTGTGAAAATGTTATCACTTCCAAGTATTCTGGCTTTTCTTTGCTCTGTGATCACTTTTGGGTTCTTCTACGTGAGGCGATCCTATTCGTATTGGGAACGAAGGAATGTCAAGGGCCTAAAACCATCCTTTCCTCTTGGAAACTTTGGACCTATGATGACCAAGCAATCCCTCGGCGATTTCTGTGATTCCGTCTATAAATCCGTCGACGCTCCAATGGTGGGAATCTACGCAATAACAAGACCCGTTCTTCTGATTCGCGATCCCGAACTCTGTCGACGGATCCTCATCAAAGATTTCCAGTTCTTTCACGATCGCGGAATATATCACAATGCCGAGGCTGATCCTTTGTCGGCACATCTTGTGTCTCTGGACGGCGTAAATTGGCGGAATTTGAGGAACAAACTGTCTCCGGCCTTCACAACGGGCAAACTCAGAGGGATGTTTAAGAGCATCTCCGCCTCCAATGCGAACTTGGAGGCCTTCCTCAGCAAGGAAGTCGACCGAGGCACCGAAATCTGCATGTTTGATCTCATGGGACGCCACATGACCAACGTTATTGCATCCACTGTGCTGGGATTCGACGTGGATTGCATTGCCAATCCAGATGCACCTATTCGGGAAGCCGGAAAGAGAGTTGGTTGCATCACACTGAAATTCTAGAGAGTCTCTGCTAAACAAGTCTTGTTTCTTTTGTAGTTCTTCAGTCCTTCTGCTATGAATGGCTTTCGTCTGGCCATGAGTTTCTTCCTCCCAACTGTGTCGCAATGGATTCGCCTCAAGACTACCGATTCCAGATACGAAGAGATCATGATGACGATGGTGAAGCAAATTGTTGAGGATCGCGAGAGGAATAATACGGAAAATAAGGATTTTATGCAGCTTTTGATGCAACTCAGGAACTCTGGTGAGATCAAGGAAGACGATGACTGGACTTTCCAAACCAACACAGGTAATTTCAACGTAGAGTGTAACTTTGGAATATCTTTAGTTATTCTGTTTCTCTGCAGACAAATCAGCGAAGATGTCTCTAGGCGAAGTTGCAGCTCAGGTTCATCTATTCTACATCGCAGGTTATGACACAACTGCCCTGACCATCGCTTATTGTCTCTTCGAGCTGGCCAAGAGCGTATCTCTGAAGACGAAGGTTGTGCAAGAAATCGACGATGTTCTCAAGCGTCACGATGGTCAAATCACGTACGAAAGTGTGGCTGACATGAAATTCCTCGACTGTTGCGTTTATGAGGTGCTCAGATTGTACAGTCTTGTGATTATCCTGAAGCGCGAGTGCACGAGAGACTACTTGATTCCGGGCACTGACACTGTGATTGAGAAGGGCACACCAATCATGATTCCAACGGTCAGCATTCACCACGATCCGAAGCACTATCCCAATCCGCAGAAGTTCCAGCCGGAGCGCTTCGAATCGAGGACTTCCAGCGATCAGAGCGGAATGTATCTTCCATTCGGACTTGGTCCTAAGCAATGCATCGCGATGAACATGGGAAGAGTGATTTCCAAGATCGGTTTAGTGTCAATTCTGTCCAACTTTGACGTGCATCTGGGAAAGGATCTGGCTAGGAACAGTCATCTTCACTTCATTCCCAATTCAATCATGAGAATTCCCGTTGGAGGGTTAAAATTGAAGATTTCCCGAAGGAAGAATGAATAAAATTGTGGCATTTCTGTTGTGCAAAGCCTAATTGAAACATCCAGAAGAGATATTTTACTGCATACTGGGCTAAATTATGGTCTTTTGGGTGCAATGATGATCCATTCTGTGTGGCTAAAGTGCTCCCTAGTGTTGGCGATACAATGGTGAGTGTCAAAGGAACAATTTTATTTGTTTACTCTCACATCAATTGAGCAAGCACACTGAGCGAGAAAACAAACTCACCAGGAGTTTAAGGAATTTCAATCAATTGTGCGACTCTCGCCATTGATCACAAAGTCTCCCAGTGACCTCAGAGGCTCACAGTGTGTGACCTTTCTGAGGACATCTGCACATCTGCATTCCGGGTGGAAAAAAAAATCACCGAAATAATGTACAGCAAAAAGTAGGACAAGAATGTAAAAGTTCTCTAATGACAATCATCATGCAAATAATGACCAACAGAATGGGATCATTTAGCACATTTTTCCATTTCATTACACTCCCTCGATTAGCATTAAAATACACGGGCGTATCTAACACTTTTTGTAGACTCAATAGATAAAATCACAAAACTGCGCCCGGAAAACAATTAACACAGAGGCCAAATAATGAAATCAGTCAGCGATTTTTTCGCGCCATGGAAAACTCTTCATTTTTGTGTGCTTCCACACGGCAATAAAAGATACATGAAGAGAGATACCAGAACTATATTTAATGGGTGTAACAAAGAGAGATACGATTTACACAATAGAGGAAGACTCTTCAACAATAATTCGTTCAGTTTTTGTGTTGGCCATTCAGTTCTCTCTGTACCTTTGATAAAATAGCAAACAAACAGAATAGGGATCATACAATAAAAGGTGAATAATGATGGAAACAACAGATGAAACATTTAAGTAAATTTCCTGCCTTTTGTATCCCCGGGAACATTTTCAATATTTGCTCTCATGCGCTTTTTTTTCCACACGATTGATAGTCCCAATTTCTCATCTAGGAAGGCTGGAAGATTCTCCGAAATCTGTGACTGTGAAGTGTTATTTGGCATGACCCAGCATTTTGGCAGAGAATATTGTTGTGCCTCTCTCTGCAATCGTGAAGGAAGCAAGATAAAAATGGACCATAGAAGATTCTTCATTATATATTGATTTCAAAAGACACTTTCCCAGTCATTTTGTAATCCCTTGAGAGAATGCCATGATCGAGAGAGAGACACGCTCATTGTTGTTTATCAAAAACAGATCACAAGGGTTGTATCGTATAAAATTCGCATCTAATCAAAATTTCACCCTTCATTCACCCCAAAATCTTTCTTGCGCCAAAAAGTGTCTCCGAACGAATCCCGGAGTCATTGTTGTCAGTTGAGACATTTTCACGGCGCACCAACAGAGAGAGAGAAAAAAGGGGTGCGCGAACTCTCATTGATCTCTTGGCCGGAGTTCAATTCCAGGGCATTTATTTGAGGGGTTGTGAGAAATGCAAATGATTGTCGCGAAATTAAATCACTTCTTTTGCAATGTCATTCATCGACCCATCGACTTTTTACCTGTTGCCCAAAAACGAAATGCAAATGGTTCGCCTGTGAATTGGATATGAATTTGGGTTTGATGGAGTGAGAATGGTGGCAAGAATTGTGCTGCATATCGATGTGACATCTTTTACCCTTTAGGAGCATCGCGCGTGAAAAAAAAGGGTGACAAGTTTGCAATCTTAAACCCCGACAATTGAGCCTTAATTCAATTTTTGCCAAACAATAAATTCCAATCAAGCTCATACGGGCCAAAAGAAAGAAACCATGCCCAGGAAGGAGAGAAATGTAGAGCATTTTGGGTGGAAAATGCGAGTTGGCAAAAAAGAAAAGGGGTTGCAATTCGGCAAAAGGTCACATATAAATATTTGCCAGGGTGACAGACCCCAAGAAATCACGAAGGATAAATAAATTAAAGCAAAAAAATTCCACCAAGATGTCAATGCATCTCAGATTCACTTCTTCTTGATCCCTCAAAGCGAAATTGAGTTCAATTCACTGGCAATTTCCGAACCGTTAAATCATCTTTCACCTCATCACAGACTTATGGTAATTTCTTTCCATTGCCAATTTCATTGTCACAATTGTTCATGTGGAATTTCACGTGAATTCGATTGAATGTGTAATTACACATGAAAAAAAGAGAGGAGGAATCAGCATCGAATTACAAATGAATATTAACGGATGAGAATTCCGTTTGTGCACAAATTTTCAGCTTTGTCCCATGAAACTTTCCACATCCATAGTATCTCACACCATATCTTTTGGTGTGAAAGTACAAGTTCATTGAGGAAAAAAAGGACACTAATTGGTGACCCTCAAATTCAACACTGAACACATCTTGAGCAACAACCCTTTTCGCTTCTCCAGGAACAATTGCAGATAGTTAAAATGTGATTTAATGAGATTTATTGCAAACCGTGTCGAAATTAGCACGATAATTTATATGACAAATATTCTCCACTGTCTCTCTTCTCTCGTTCCCATAGCATCTATGGCCGCAGCCCAACCCCTTTTCTTCGTGCTTAATTAGTGGAATTGTGGCTGGGAAAGAGGAAAAGTCTCCCCATGGAGAATTTTTGTCATAAATAACAGATGATTTGGGGAGATGCTCTTCGACCATAGGAGCAAACTGACAAACAAGAATTGGGTAGATAATGGTAATAATATCGCAGAGATGCAATAAAGTGTCGATTTTTGTCATTAAAGCTCTATTATGGTAATGTCCGATGGTGTATTCTTGTTTCTTGTCTCCTAATCTGGCATCTCAATAGGATTTTCTCTTCTTTCTCCCCCCCCCCCCGCCCAAAACACATACACACAGAGGATGAGATTGAGAAAAATGGACAAAGACTTACCTCAATGATCTCCATCTGGAATTCATTTTATTCATACACAAGAGGAGATCGTATAAGCCAGTCTGATGTCCAATTGGCCAATAAATAAGGATTAAGTGTGGTCCAGCAAACAACAAATATCATCTGCTCCGTCAATGATGAAAAAAGCCAAGCACACGGTCAAGGAGGGAATTCTGAAGAGGAGTGGAAATGCAGACTATGTCCAGGATCGGCTGTGGCACTCCGGATCTATAAGAGAGACAAGGGATGTATTTTCATTACTTGACCATTAAGCATTTCTACTCTTATAACTCATCAGATTTGATTGTGAGGTGTAAGGAAAGCATGCAAAGAAACTACAAGAAGTCTAGAGAGTGTCTAAAGATTCTAAATAAATTGAACATCTTGTCAGGAAAAAAAACCGCCATAGAAACCCGAACAGAGCGTTGTTGGCAAAGTATGAATAAAATGTGAAAAGAATGTTCTATAAAAGATGAAATCCCAATTCCAAATTAAGAATAAATCATGTAGTTAAAGGTGAAAAATCAAAGATTGGAGAGACAGAAACCAACACTTCTTCATTTGCCTTTGCATGATTTAATAACACGAAATACATGTATTTGATCTCCTCTCCACAAGCCACAAGAGATTGTCCATATATACATCTGAAAGGGGAGTTTTTGTGCATAAAGAGCATAATTTTGATTCATTGCCACAAAGTGCATCTTTTATTGCATTCTTCGGGACTCTGGGGCTTTCTTTGCATTTTCTGAATGTGCACTCAGCGAATATGGCTGTGGATCAAAGGCGATTGCGAAGAGAAACCAACAAAAGGGGCAACTTAAACGATTTTGACACCCTAACAAATGCGTTTTGGCAGAAATGCTCTTTCGCAGCACATTATAATGCACAAGAAAATTTATATTTGCACAGAACAAAAGTAAATGCTGATCTTCCATAATTCTCCCCGCACTCGAGAGACTTCACAACTCTCGCGGGCAATTCTTTCGCCAATTTGCTCACTCTGGGTGATCGTGCGGCTGAAAGAAGTGGCAAAAATGCTTGGCATACCCGCTGTGAAGGAATTTCCCTATTTCATTGCCACTTTTTCACTTTTCGCCAGCGATTGCAGCGCCCTTCCGCGGTCAAGTTGCGGCAGTTCACCCAGCACCGCCCCTAACTTCAACTCCATCTCATCCCTCAAGCGTGGAAGAGTGAAAAATTATGCTAATCCCTTATTTAATGCCACTCTTCTTCCACCAGACATCCTCTCCAACATTATGTGTTCAACTAATTCTCCGGGCTCAGGGGTTCCGGGGTTGAATAATTTCACTGTGCAGCCCCTCAAGGGAATTGCTGGATAATTTCTCTCTCTCTTCTCTCTCGCCTGTGCGTGTAGTTTTGATGAAAAACGCGTGGCAAGGATCAAAATATTATTTATAGAGTGTGTGGTGTGGAGATGAAAAATAAATTTACATAAATTATGTGTTTAATTTACAATAATTGAACAATGGACGAGAATGAAAGGAATTCCACATTAAATTCCGCGGTTCGGCGGTTCTCTGTTTAAGGCCTGCCAAAAGAATGGGGCTTTATGGGTGTTGAAGAAAGAATGTGAGAGTAAGAACATTGACGTGCTTTTTTTTTTCCTCTCCGCACTCGCGCGCTTCTCAATATAACTTCAATTCTTCTGTATGCCCATGATGTGCCCCATTGAAGGCATCTCACCCAGAGAAGAGAGAGATAGAGAGAAAAAATCCACCGCAACCACTCAAGAAAATGATTTATCATTCTTGTGGCTCATTCGATGAACAATAAGAGTGGTAATGCACATTGAAAAGGAGGTGGAAATCAACAAAACAAATACAAAAGTCTTCAACTGATGCGTTTCTGATTGGTAATTTATCAATCATCCAAATCACATAAGATCTGAAATATTTTCTCTCTCTCCACCCTTCGCCCACATTCCACCCTGGCTAATCTCCCTTTGATATGCACAGCGCGATGCCACTCAGAACTGAGACACTTTAAAAAGCTCACAGCAGAGCTTTATCACATAATCTTCCAACTATTTACAGTCAAAGTGACTTTTCGTCATACCAGAAGAGATTTTGACTGAAATTTAGAGAATTTAGAAGGACTTTTATGATTCTCCG